AGTCCGCTGCATCTTCAACTCTTACATTTCATAACAAAGTACAAAAAATATTAAAAACATAAAGGATATAAGATAACATAACATTTTCAAATTTCAAACCCTAATTCAACTATTAAATTTTATAACAAATTAAATATTAAACAAAAAGGAGATAAGAAAACATAACATCTTCAAATTTCCAGAAAACCTCTCTTACTTTAGTTTGTTCTTCAAATTCTTGTTCTTCTTTTTTGAATATATATATATATATATATATATATATATATATATATATATATATATATATATATATATATATATATATATATATATATATATATATATATATATATATATATATATATATATATATATATATATATATATATATATATATATATATATATATATATATATATATATATATATATATAACATTTAAATACCCAACAAAATCCAACTCCGGCATCATAGTACTCTCATATTCCAACTTTTGTTCATCATCCCATATGAATAAATTACATGTTTCACCAGTCCATCAATTTGGACATCTCCAAAAAATCCTTCTTTTATTTTGATCCCTCTTGCATAGGAACGAAACCATATGACAATCACAAGCACAAAAATTTCCAGATCGAGATTTTACACACTTGGAATGAGAAATTGAGACAATTATGGACAACAACAATGAGTGTTATGGTTGTTTTCTTCATCCCGACGATGTTGGTGTTAGGGTTTATTCCTTTTATCAGTGGAAGAATGGGTACTTAGTGTTTAATATATACAAAGAATCGCCAGTGTGTAACAACGGTTGTTCAAAAGAGTCGTAGTGATATACCTATTATTTTTGTATTATATATAAATGTAATTAAAAAGGATTGCATTAAAGTAAAAGGGATAAACTATTTGAGGGAGCTGAGGATCGAACCCAGAAAAGTTGGACAATATCACCATGGTTAGGGAATTAACCATAATTATAAACTTAAATTTTCAATTAAAAAATGAAAATAAAATTTTAGTGCACTAGTTTAGCAGTGTCACTACGGTTTTAGGGCGAGCCGTGGTAACTTTGGTGTTGTTGTTTGTATGTTTTATAGTAGTGTGAACAAATTTTGATATATGATCTTTTTTAGTAGTTATGGATTTTATCCTATCCTCCTAGGTTGATCAATGGGGGTGGAGCCACTTTAAAGGTATTTCTTATTATATGACGTATGCATATGATTTTCTTCTATGAGTTTCCTTGAGATTATTAGGTCTTGTTATTATAGTTGGTTATCTCTAGTAACTGGTGCAGCTGGGTCCTTTCTAAAAAAAATATTTTCTCTTGTAAACTACTACAAGATATGATTCCTACCTGATAGAATCTATCGAAGAGGGGGATCTTCATTGGTTTAAAGGGTGTTTATTTCCCTTTATGTTCGAGATTCTAGAATCGTCATCTCACCTTTTTGTGACTTGTCATGTAGTAGTATCTATTTGGCATTGAATTTTCAGTTGGTTAGGGTGGTATGTATCTATACTAAGGGATTCTCAAACCCTTTTTCAGATGTTTCTCACTCTTGGTAGTACGAGGTAGTATGTCGTAATTTGGTCGATCTAGAAACTTCAGAATGATATAATGCTCTTAGATAATTGGTGTCAGTGAAGGACATGACATATTTGAGTATTCTTTTGATTTGGAAATAATAATTTGGTAGGTTTATGGAAAACTCGCGTGCTTTCTTGGCCTGACTCGAGAACCCAATCAAGCATCTGAAACAATAACAACTTGAGTGTTTTCGACCTCCTTCTAGTGTGTTCTTGCTGCTTAGTGGAGATTGGTTCCTTTTTTCAAAAGATTTTTGGCTGGAGAGATCAAGCACGGGCTTTCCTCTGGCGCACTTGGTTTTTGCATTGGTGTTTTATCTTTTTATCCTTGTTGTACTAGTGTTTGATCTTGTATCATTGGTTTTGTTCTCTGTATATTTCTTTTTTTATTGTTGTTATGATGATTGTATGATATCTCTTTTATCGTTGATCAGTCTTTATTTTATACTATTGACCTTAATGTCTTGTTATATTTATATATAGTTATTTGCTAGAAAAAACGCTT